TACAACCGCATAACAAAGAAAGCGACCCACGTGGTGCATTCTTAAATATTACACACATTATTTAATTGTATTAGACGATAACACGATATCACTGATTGAACGATCTAACTAGGCCTACCCTTGCATCGCAGTAATACTGAACTAGGCCTAGCTTAGGCCTCATGTTTTTGTGGAAAGCTAGATAGTCGTTATGTACCCAACAGTCGGCTGCCTTTATATTTTCACCTGTTTTCAGTTTGCATTCAAAGGGTACATTGCTGCACAGCCAACTGTCGGGGATATAGTACCTTCATATGACTACTCATACGAATACAACAGAAAAAAACGTCGCATGGACTGAGTGAAAAATGGAGATCTAAATGAAGAAACGATGTCGGAAAACTTTTCTTTGACGCATGCGCATTTGCATAAATGTCTACACACACACATACACACTACACACAATAAAAAACATAGGAAATAGCAAGAGTGATTACAATAGTTCCTATTGCATTACATGCATAGGAACTAAAAATTAAAATATTAAAATAATAATTATCAACCTCTTCTCTGCATCCATTACTACCTGTAAAATAAGTGACAAGAGTATTACAGAGCAGGCCTGCAAATAAATGTTTATACCTCCGACCAAGAAAATGCTTTTAATAAAATGCATCCAGCACCAAATGTTATCTGTACACTATATAACCCAACAGTTTACTTTTAAAAATTGTTTTCTCCAAAAATGTCTCTGGGACATTCATGATGCCTCCAACCAACAGTTGGGCAGCCATGCACTTTTTCCAGTCCTGGTACACAGTATTCTGATTAGAAATCAACAAACCTATCACATGTGATTTTATGGGCTTGCCACTTAACTTGTGTGATCCATGGGTCTGACTTAAATGCAAATTAAAATTGTCTGGTTTTTTATCAATACAGTAATATACATACAGTATGTAAAAGGAGTTGTGCAGGACAATAAGCAATATAAGAACATATTATCTACAATAATAAAATTAATGTTCTTAGAAAATAATAACTACTGCTACTTCTGTATTCATTCTTCAATTACTGTCTTGTAGATTTTTCATGCATTGAGTACAATGAATATTATCATCATTGAAGAATATTATTATCAAAGAACATTACAGGTGATAATATTTTTAATGATTTACATCACGAGAAGAAACTTTCTCCATATTTACCTGGCCATTAAATTCAAAATTAAAATAGCATTTTAAAATGTATGAAATTTTTTAAATGAATGAAAACCAAGACAAATACATCACTTGCTATCAGTTACTATAAGATGTACATACTTTAGGATGACTTTTCAGTAATTTTTTAACCAACAGTATGTCCAACTACTGTGAAAAACTTAGATTAAAATACATCTGAACTGTCTTTTGACTTTATTACTATATCTTAATTCATTGTGGCAGTTTCATTTACAAGATGTGAAGAAATCATGACCTGCCACAACAGATACTGATTCATTTTTACATTATGTTTTAATGATACAGGTGATTACTTCTTTTTCATATACAGTACTGTAAAAAAAACATTTCTGGCATAATGATAATAGACACAATCTGGAATGGGAATCACATGACCTACAGTTGAAACAAAAATGAAATTAGACATAGAGTGCGAGCATACGAAGATCAGTGAAAATGTATGGCTTCTTTCTACATGTTTCTACTGTCACTTCATTATGTTCAATAATGCTGGTTGGAATGCCAGTAAATTACTCTAAATAGCTTAGACATTAGAACTTGGAAACATTGTCAGAATGCTGGTTAATCCTCCAAAACATTCTTCAAACAAAATTGGGTTTTTTTTTAAAGAATAATCTTTGTAGCTTGTAGGCCTAGGCCCCTATCTATGGTAAGAAAAGGTTGTGAGTGGGTAGAGAATAGTTCAAGGCTCACAATTGATTGCAATTCTAGAGCCTATATAAAGTACAGAGAATGCTAGAATGAGTATTAGAACAAACATCTTGCCTTTTTCATTTATTTCTCAAATTCTCATTGTCTTAAAAACATTTCCTCTACTTTCCACAGTATAGTATGTTTATTGCTACACTGAGAAATGATGACTAGTAGTTCAAACAATCTGTGGTCGCCGATTGTTTCTATTAGAATTGCTGATATATATTATTATTAAATCTACCATTATTCTACCATTTATGCACATATCATTAGGAGAATACAATATATTCTACATTCTAAGTACTGCATTTATAATTTATAATTTATCATTACATGTAGAGTATATATACTCTACATGTAATGATAAATTATGATATTTTCTACATATGATTACTATTTCATTCATTTGTTCGGGCCAACACCCAACGTTTCCCTATCTCTTTAGGCCACCAGCCCATAGAGAAAGCAAACTCAAAAAATAGAGGGCAGAGGCTTCCTCTTAGAGACAAACATAAAAAAAAAAACTTTGATAAATTAATTTGTAAATTAACATTTCTAAATAATGAAATCAATTTACTGCAGTATTAAATATTTTTTTCTATAAACTAATTTATTGATTGGTATAGTACTATGCTTATCACCTTTTTTTGATATTGTCATTTTAAATATTATTCAAGCTTGGCACAGTGAATACTGAAAAACTGAAATAGTTATTTTTACATACAAAAATATTCAGAAATCATTGTGTGTTTCACTATCATTTATTTTATTATTTAAAACCAGTTTGTTTCGGTCTCACTGTAAGTTGATAACTTACTGTATTAGACTTGAGTCTTCTCAATTGTATGATTGAATTTGACCTATATATCAGATAATGAGTATCATAATTTAAAATAGAAATAACAGTACGTTTACCTTTCAATTGTAATGTCTCTATCCGAGACTTGAAATCTGTTGTATTCTGCGGAGGATATAAATATAAAAATTAAGGTAATTGTTTCTAACTAAAAATAATGACAACAGTAGTTGAAAGAAGCAGCAATAACAATAACCATCATAATCAAAATCACAATAGATAATAACAGTAACAATGATTTATAATAACACAATAACAAACACCACTAACAATCATAATCAATAATATTCATCAATATTAACAATTAGCAATCGCAATGATTAAAGATATACTGTCCCTTGAAAATGACCAAAGTCATAACAAATAATTTTTAAATTAACTGCTCATTTTGCAGTAACATACAAATTATTAACTTGAGCATAGAAATTATTTAATTAAAAAATGTGATTTTTTAACTACAGTAGGTAATTATAATAAAGATAATAAAACACTTTCAGTGACTGGAAGTGTTTCTATCATTGTTTCACTGTAAAATGATGGTTTTTATAGGTAAGCATTTTTTAAATACACTAAGTTCTATGTTCAAGTTGATAATGTTTATGTTACAGTACTTCAAAATGGGCAAGTAAATTTCAAAAATGATTTTTATGATTTTTTTTTTGTTCTTTGCAAGGGACAGTACATCTTAAAAGACTTATTTACGTCAATGTCATACATACTTTATTATACAAAGTAAATTTTTAATCCATTAGGTAAACATGTAATTTTAGTATTTTTTAATGTAAAATCTACCAATTTCACTAATTATTTCCAGACTCATTTATATCCAAGGTCATAGGGCATTACTGTGAAAGAGACATGGATCTTTAGTTTTTTTCCACACACTATCTTCCACAGATCAATTAACTTTAATTGAAATAGCCAGTAAATAACTCAGCAATATATTCCAGTAGGCCTCATAAGCCTAGCCTTCACAATTCAGTGAAACATAACCTTACTTTTTATAGGTCATCAAAGGAGGGAGAAAAAAAAATATTTTTCCTATTTACAAAATGGTTTTACCAAAAGCATTAAGGCAGAGAGAAAAATTAAAATAAATTATTATTGACAAATAAACATTTGAAATGTGTCATGTGAGGTTAACAATGTAATAATACTAGAAATTGCAATTTGCAAGTGAAGTACAACTGCATATAAATGTTCTTTGAACAAAAGTATTTATGCGAGTCAAGTGAAAATAATGAATAATAAAACTATAACAAATAATATGAGACACGACCCACTCTCTATATTAGAACACTTCTCATTGGGTAACAAAGTCGTAATTTTTCATTTTTGTCAAAAAGTGTCTATAGACTATAGTGTGGTGAATTATGATTTAGGTTTTTTTTAATAGTTTCAAAAATTTCTATGTATGTGGAAAATGTAGTTGATTACCAAAGGTTACAATTTTTATTTTGAAGACTGCATGGTCTAGGAAGTGTACATTTTTTTATGGGGCAAGTTTCCAAGGGCGGGTTTTCTAGGGGCGAGTGGACTGCCAAAGAGTGTTGCCAAAGTGCGAGTCAGCGTGTTATTTGATCACAAGTGCGAGACATATCTCAAGTGTGAGCCAGCGAGCCATGACGTCACGACAATAGATAGAGACGTTAGCCAGTTGATTTGTGGAGCACAATTCAAAAAACAACTATAGGTCTAATAATGAATTATTGTGATGTTAAATAGACAATGTTAGCTATCAAAGAGTGACGTTATTTTTCATTGGGACCTTCGTCTTCAAGGCTAGGCCTATACCATCCTAGCTAGTCTAGGCCTAGAGTAGGATAAGGCTAGCGCGACATGCGGACGTTGGTACGAGTATGTTAGTCTACAAACGTCGCCTAAAGTAATTGATTTTACCCGGCAGAACGAAAGAAAGAAACTCCGCTTTTCAGTCGTCTTAGGCACTCGTTTTTTGACAAACAATGACCTTTCAGAGGTCAAATTGCTGTCAAGAATATGAATTGGCTGCTTCGCAGCAAATAGAGTTTTCAAATAGAGTTGTGATATAACCAGTTCAGTTATCAGATCAATAAATTGAACAACAAAATCTAATTTAGAACCCAACCTCTTTGTTTCAATTGTTGAGATCCATGGGAAAATAATTAAAAATAGACCAGCAAAGTACAAACCTCTAAAAATATTATAGTCAACAAAGATTGCACTGTACAAGCACTGTATAATAACAGATCTTAAAATTGGATAGGTTTCTAAAGGTTGAAATCAAAAGATACAAAATATCTATCTATACTATAAAAATTGTTTTCAAGTATCAAAGATGAAACACAGACGACAGCTCTGGAGTTTGTCATTTTACACATCATTTAAATTATTTTTTATTAGGGAATACATATACAGTATTGAACAATGTATCGCACGTGAAATCAACTTTATATTTATTTCTGTAATTGAAATGCTGTGCTTATTTATTGAGCCCTAAAATAAATCACACTTAAACCACTATATCAATATTACACAGTAATTGCTATCAATAATTATTATTACAGAATAATAATAATTATTATTATTATTATTATTATTAATTATGACTGCCACAGAGATAACTGGGTTTAATGAGTTCATTGGTCTGGGAAATTTTGAACAGATCAATTAGTGTTGACATCATGTTATGTAATTTACACTGTTGAATATCACATATATTGTATGTTGAATTAAAATGTTTAATTAATTAATTAATATCTCTTCAGTATATCATTTAAAAATAATATGAAAATAACACAACAATAATTTACAACAACAACAATAATTTACTATCTATCACTAACATTAATAAAATATAGAAATAACTATAAAAAATATCAATAGCATAATCACAATAATAAAATAATAATAATAATAATAATAATAATAATAAATGACAAATATATAAAATATAATAATAGTTTTTATTAATGTTTTGTGTATAACTCTACATTTTATAATTTAATTAATCTTAAGAACATAATTCAAAATAAGTTTGATTCTTGACATCTTCTGAGAGCCACCAATGGCTTCACAGTGCATTTCTGTTTGAATACAGTATTTCATTTGAAATTCAGAAAAATAAAATCAAAACCAAATCGATAACAACATTAAAAACAACAATAACAACAAATGTAACTGGGCTAAAAATGAATTTTATCAAGACTTTACCTGTATTAGATTTAGCATCTTTGCACTTGGTTTGATCTTGAGCCTAGCACAAGCTGACTGGTAGTTTGAAAGTAATTCCTCTTTGGTAGGTGATTGAACTGGGAAAAAACAAATATCTGCATTATACCATCTGTACAAGGATTAAATTCCTATACAATTTATATCAAATAAAATTTAATAGCACTTCAGCAGTAGTGACTCCAGTGGGGAATCCAAGGGGCACAAGACCCCCAGTTAGAGAATCATGGAATCTCCGTCAGGAAGTAAGTCACACCATCAGGAAACACTCTCTTGGAAAAAGCATCATTAGTGTCTCCTGAGAGAGCCATTTCTGGTTACCCAAAGGTGCTTATTCTTAAAATTTTATAAAACCATGGTGGAGCTAAGGTAGATGTGGACCCCACTGAGGATCTTAAACTGCTCGTTGGGAACCATTAACCCCATGTCGTGGAATCTCTGGCGCTGCAACTGATTACCGGTTTGTTCCCACATGACACTGAATGATCAACAACTCTTCATAATATCTGTGAATGACGATCTCTGTACTGCCACAGAATTTGCATAGTTCAAAGTAATCAATGTTAAATAATTATGGATGTGCTTTGCTGGTCACATTAGGTAATGCAATCTACTTGGCTTCTTCCCACCCAGGGGTAAAATGAATACCTGTCATAATTAGGACAAGTTCATTGTCTGGATGTAGATGCATACATGACTAAGAGTCTGTATAGAATCAAATAATTACCAGGAAACCAAAACGTCATGAATACTGCTTTGTGTAGTGGATACATTAATAATATAATATTCTTCATTTACTGACAATGACATAGAATGCCTCAAACTGAAACAACCACACAACATTAATGTTGGAAAGAAACTGTGAACCTCTATAATCACAGGTTATGTCATACTGGAGAGGTAATGTCTATCAACTTGTTTTAAATATTTCTTCCTGCACTGAAAAGATAATTAATATTCAGATAATAGGTGATTTATGGTTTTTATGATTTAAAAAAAGAATAATTTAATAATTTGAAATAATATAAAATAGTAATGTTATGAATAGCAATAAAATCTTATTCTCCAATGTTGCTATAGCAACCTGACAACTTGTAGGTATGACAACTATAAACACAGACATTTTCATAAACTTATCTTGCACATATAGTAATTCCAAGGTTTCTACTGTATGCGCATTCTATTAACATGCTCTACATTTCTCTCTGCAGAATACTGCATTTCCTTAGTTCTGCCGCTTGTGTATTGCTACTCAATCTACTATTAAACTACTGTAATACCCATTTATAGTTCTGTAATACCCATTTATACTGTAGTTCTGAGTGAAGTGTACATAGAGTGCTTTGCCTAAGACCACAACCTTGTGGCCATTCTCAAACGCAAACAATTGATCCTTTTAGGCCGTGGATAAAAATACATCGCTCTTCTTCACTCTTAAAATAATTTCTATTTTAGCCTGGGTATAGGGCATCCTCAAACACAAACAATTGATCTTTTTAAGCCATGGATAAAGACACGTTGCCATGTTGTAGCTCTGCTTTACTCCTAAACAGTGTTTTTTAATACTAGTAGCAATTTTAGCCTGAAGGTAATTGAGTTCAGCTCCCAATCATAAGGGCATGGATACAGGTGATCCACATAGAAGTATGGTAGTATCTTAATACAGTAGTTGGTATTGTCAGAGTCGTCAAGAAGAGAAGATATGAGAGCATAAATATAACAGTTTGTTTGATTTATCTGTCAGAATTCTTGTTTTTTAATTTTTACAGTACCTGTGAATTAATAGGTATGTCCTACTGTACAACAGTGTTGTGAAATGGTTAGTTGTGTTTCTTGTATTTATGAAGAGGATACAGTAGTTCAGAATCATATTAAATTACTGATCTTAAGCTTCTTTTTACATTTAAAGTTAAATATAAATACTGTAACTGCGCTGTCAATGAGTACAGGGTATGAAGATACATAAAAAAATAGTTCACTAAACAAATATAAAAAGTCTTGCATGACTGAGGTATGTAAACTATTTAAATATGTAGACATTTACGATAGAGCATCAGAAATGTTTTGTGTAATTTGTAACATTTTATTCGCTCTTTTTACGTCCTTGTTGCGTCTTTACCAGTAAAAACATTCTACGTTCGTAAACACAACTATTGTTGGTACAGTACCATATATCTCTACTTTTGCTCTCACACTGTAATTGCACAGAAGAAAACTCAAATTTAGGTGTGAAATAGCTAGGAAAATAGGTGCGCAGAATCCTATTAGTATTGCATTGGTGGTATATATACAGAGAAAAATTGCAAGGAAATCGGCCGTTATTTTCCAAGATGACAGAATTCTAGGCCTAATTTTTGTGTGGGGGACCATACTGTACTGTAAAGTTTTTAATTGCACGGGGGATATTTCAAAAATGAGCTCAAATTTGTCAAATGTAATCCTGGCTCCTCCGGACCCGGGCCATAGCAGGGCACTAGCCGGGACTGAGCCAGGGATGTACACATAGTTGTGTGCCCGTAGTGCCGGAACGTACCTAAAATTTACCCGTAGATGTAACAGGCCTCGGAAGCTGGGAATTTTACACATTAGTGTAGCCGTGTTTTGGGGTGTGTACGGCGGTAAGGGACTTAGCCGGGGATGTACATTAAAACAATGCCCCGCATTGCCGGGAGGTGGACTGGACTTTCACATGCATGTAACCATTTTAGAAATTCCATCCCCGGCTAAGTCCCTGCTAGGCCCGAGTCCAGGGGCCGGGACTACAACTGACAAGTGCATTATAGTAAGATTTGGTCGAAGCCTAATTTTTGGCAAAATCTGCAAGGATTTCAGCTCTTATTTTCCAAAATGGGCGAACGGATTTCTTTGGCAAATTTTTATGAGGAGGATATTTTCCCCGCGCAGGTCTTACTATACAGTCTGGGTGGGGGATAGGCCTAGGGTTATTCCTTGTGCAACACATACTTTAAAGGCATTTAATCCAATTTAAGCAAAATGAGATCATTATTCTTCATTCCTCATAAAAAAAATATAATGTGGCCTGCTGGCTTTGCCTAACACATCACTCAGTCTCATCTCAGCTCAACTGCAGAGGTCATTTTTGTTTACATATTTTCATTCTACAAAGCACAAACAAAGCAGTATTCCTTTCTTCGACATATGTTTACAGGATGCGTCAAACGTCAATCTTCTAGGCCTATATTATTTGAAACGAAAAAATAATATTCGTTATGTAGGCTTCACTTTACTTCACAGACTAAGGCCTATGCATAGGCTATAATGTAGGCCTAGGCCTACTAAATCCAAATCCAATAATAGGATACAAACCATTTTGCCACGGATCAGGCGGATCCAATGTGTTCGAGATTAGCTTTTCATCCTGAGGAAAATTAACCCGTCTACCCGGAAGTTTTAACTTCGATTTTGACGTTGTAGGAGAGAGAATGCTTTTATAACTTGTTAATGTATTGGTTCCAATCTCTCCTTCCATAACTGGACATCTGAGTATGACTTTTTTTTTATTGAAACATCACTTATAAAACGCAAGTATTTAGGCGTTGTTTTTCATCTCCATCGCCACTCGTTCGAAAATCAGCCTCTTCTTTTTTTACAGCTGTCCTAAATTCTCACGAGAAACAGGTTCATAGGTCAAAATACATGTCTATTCCACACATAACAGGTATTATGAATGGTGGAGAGGAGTAAGGTCCATGAAGCCTGACCAATAAAAACGGAATACACATATACGATGGATCGATTGTTATTTTGTCTGCTGCCTCCAATCGTTTGAAGCTTGAAATTTTGCGGGGGATTTTACAGACAGTGTTCTTTGATTTTTCTTTCTTGCTTGTATTTGTGTTATTTAGTAAGGATTTAGTTAACATTAATTTGTCAGTTGATCCTTTAGAAGTATATGTTCATAATGTTTTGTTTTATTCTTAATACTGCATAGTTTACAGATGCTCAAATAAATATGACTTGATATAGGCTGGCTAGGGGCCTAGGCCTAGTGAGTAGGCCTAGGCTAGCTAGTCTAGGCGGCGGCCTACAGTAGCCTGGCCCCAGGATAGACTAGGCCTAGGCCCTATCCTATCTCCTCTTTTTTTTTCCCATTTCCTAGCCTAGTTAGGCCTGTGCAAAGATAGAGGTCGCCTAGGTTTGGCATTCCCTGGGCGAATAACTCGTATTTTGTTTGTGTCGTCCGTAAGTAACACCACCGGGGACAATATGTGGGAACCATCTGTGCGTGATCTTATTAGGTAAGCCAACCACCACCAGCCAGCAAGGAACTAGGCCAAGGCCTAAATAAAGATAAGAAAAAAGTATTGTACTGGGAACTGGCATGTTGTTCAACTACTAACTAATTTAACCTAAAATCAAATTAAAATCTAGGCCTAAGCTCTGAAGTCTTTCAGTTGTTGGAAATCAAGGGAAGGCCTGGGCTTACTAGCTAGGAGGATTATTATTGTTCACTGCAAATTTATAATTGGCGTTTTAATTTTATATCTGCAACACACTCATTACGGCGAACACATTCATCTTAGATTGTTAAGTTATTTATAATTAATCCACTCGTGAAATGGTCAAAAAGTACTTTTTGTAAAACAATTTATTATTATACAGTAGGCAGATAAGATGTTTGTTGACGTTTTGGGGGATTTTTCGTAAAATTTATGTTCTTACAGTGGTGCAAAGTTTACACCACAATGTCACATAACAAACGAGTGTATGCCTCTATCAGAAATTTCAGGTGAACCATTTTGAACAACTCAGAAATGCATTGTTGTTCATTAAATAATTATGTACTATCTGCCAAAAAAAAAAAAGAAATCAGTAAAATTGCCCATAGACTGTGCATGGGAACCAGTCAATTCGAGTGGATGCCACTTCGAGCAAATGCCAGTTCGAGCGGAATTTATTATAGCGGATGCTAGTTCGAGCGGAGAAAAAAATCACTTGTGCGAACAACAGCCTGTGTGATTTATGTACGAATTACTTTAAAATTTCCTATTTTGAGCTAAAAATTTGCATTCGGCTGGGGCTCAGGCTTTGCCTGGGAGCCAGGCACTGGTGTATCTAGGGGTGCGTGGGGTGGGGGAGGTTCCCCTCCAAACAATTACTCGCCCCCCCCCCCCCCATATCAATTGCAAGTAGTTAAAAATCACCTTATTTTGCGAGTTTAGCATCCCTCTCAATTGATTATCGAGCCCCCGTACTTCACCTTCGCGCTCCCAATCAGCACCCCCATTTCAAGACTTCCAGATATGCCACTAAAGCCAGGGGAAAAGCCCCAGTGGGGTCCGGGGGAGAAGCCTATAGCCTTATGTATAAAAAAAGTTGTATTTAATTGATTTACAGTATAAGGTTAGCAATTTACAATTAAACATACTTACGTTCATAAAAATAATGTTAAGTCATTGTTATTCTTTCCACATGCTAAGTTAAAAAAAAAAGTGGGTTTTGAATTATATAGAAGAATGGTTGAATAGTGGAGAAAATTGGTATGATCTATTTACTGTGCTGTTGATAGTCTTGTCACAGGGGCTGAAGGATCCAGAATTTTCCAAACGGCGGGGTGGGGGCACAACAGTTTCAGAATAGATAAGTGAGTAGCACATAACATTAATATGCATTGAAATTTTTTAAAATTTAGTGGCATGACGGGTGGGGGGGCATGTGTGTCCCCTACACTGGATCCGCCCCTGTGTCACACTACTACACCAATGATTTGTGCACCTTCTGGTACCATATACGTAAAAATAATTTAAATTTCTGTGGTGAATAAAAATTACAATTACAGTTACTCCCATTTACAGATATAGGCCTAAATCGTAAATCTACAAATACTGTTACAACACTATATAATTCAACTAATTGGAGACAAAAACCGTGAATTCTACGTGCGAAATTCTATAGTTTTAAAATATAGGGCCTAAGTGCTTTCTGGCGGCCATCTTTTAGTCGGATTTGCCAAGACTGTAATTCAAACATGGAATAATTTTCAAAAAGTACCAAAAACATTTCAGAACTTTAGTGCACAGAGCATTTTTTGCATTTATAACAAACAAATACAAAAATAGGGTGACGATAAATTCGCCCTTGTAGTTCGCACTAAATGCATCCGTTCGAACTGGCATTCTAATTCTAATTCAAGAAATTCAAGAGATTATAGTTACCATTGCTATTTTATTTTTCAGCAAAACAACTAGGCCTATATAATACTGTGATGCCTGGATCAAAAGGTAGGACTAGGAAGGATACATTCCTAACAAATGGGAAATTTTATAATTTAGAGATTTTATTAATGTACTTTAATTAAAGTTTAAATACTGTACTTAAAAATATTAATTTAGATTTTTTTTTCGTGCAGCAACAGCAAAACCCAAGAAACCGAAAGCCTACAAACTCCCGAAACCCCTACCAGAAGGGGAGATACTTACTGAGCATTCAGGCAAGAGAAAGTGGCGTATCGGGTCAATAATCGGTCAAGGTGGCTTTGGATATATCTACCTTGGTAAAGTGTCTATAAATATTTTATTTCTTTTTCTACAAAAATGTATATTTTAAGGCTAAACTTGAAATTTATTATTAATGGTTTGTACATTTTTTTATTTCCAGCTTCTGACAATGTAAATACAAAAGTGAAAGCTGATGCAGAGTATGTGTTGAAAATTGTAAGCATCATAATATATATAAAATATATTAATTTTAATCACAAAGTCTGGTACACATTGCCTCATTTGGTCAACAAAACACTCCATGCTTTCTTAAGCCCTTGATGACCTCATGTTGATTGTTGGTTTAGATTAGATAGTCTTTGAAAACGATCCCTCCTAAGCAACTGTGGTCTCTGGAATCGTATTGATCAGCCATCCCGCAATTGAAAATATGGAAAATTGAAATGTAAAAATATAATTTCCTAAGCTTAAAATGTCATGGAAATTTATGAAACATTCATGGAAGTTTTGGAAAAAGATATTAAAATATATAATATTTAAATAATATTACAAACTACTGACAGCATTATTTCTTAAATAATCAATTTTCCATGGTTTTCTCCTTCAGGAACCACAAGGAAATGGACCACTATTTGTTGAATTGCATTTCTACCAACGTGCAGCTAAAGAAGATATGTGTAAGGCATAGGTTTTTTAGTAAACCATAGAATTGAAGAACCCTCTAATTTGACCAAACCATGAGAACACCCCAAATTTTTAGGTCCCAAAGGTGGTCTGAAATTGGAGGGCGAACTGTATAAATTATGATCGACTTGTAGTTTTTTCTTTCATAGCACTCAGATGAGAAAAAAAAATAGGATAGCAATAATCATGTACAATTTATTCAACCTCCACTTCTTGAAAAAGTTAATAAGCAAAAATTTTTTTTGGAAGCGGTATGTCGCAGCGGTTGTGGTTCTGCTTCTTAACCTTACGGTCAGAGATTCAGTCCCTCGCTGTGGCTTTCGGTTGTGTCCTTAGGCAAAGCACTTCACCTACTGTTGTCTTTTTCTACCCAGGAGTACAAGTGGGTATTTGGTAGGTACAAGCACAAATGTATGTTGATTATTATTATTATTACAGCTGCAACACCAGGAATTATCCCCACGGAGCTGTGTATGTGTTCCATATGCATTTCATCCAGTGACCGGCAGTAATGTTAAGAGCATATATATATGAACCATTATTATTATTATTAAATCTATTCTTTTTAATATAGTGGAACAATATCAGAAGTCACAGAATCTACCATATCTTGGCGTTCCAAAGTTCATCAGTACTGGCCTACATGAAACAAACAACATGAAATATCGCTTTATGGTCATGCAAAGATTTGGTGAAGATTTGTACAAGAAACTTCAAGCCACAAACCAGAAATTTACACCAAAGGTTACTTACATGTTAGCTAAGCGCATTGTGAGTAGGCCGAGCTTCATGCATGCATTTTTCAAAAACATATGATGTTTCAATATTAATTTCATGTTCACCTGACCATATTTGGTAGAAACACTTCATTACATTTTCTCCAAAAAACAAGACCTTATAAACCCTCAAATTTGTATGTAAAGCCAGGAGTAGAGAGTATCCAATTTTATTTTTATATCATCTAATCAAAATTATGTAATGATTTATTTTTTTATTTTATTTTATTCAGGTATAAAAAACATTACAAGCAGAGCAGAACAAAGCAGAACAAGTCTGAAATTATTGTATTACAAGATATAAAAATACATAAAAAGAGAATTATCAAAAAACAAACACAAATATTGAATTACATATAAAATATTAACAATACATTACAAAAAGGAAAACGATTAAAATTATGAAATACAATAGGTAAAAACATTAAAATTGGTTTACAGTAATGTGATAAAAATAAAGTAATGCGATAAAAAATTGAAAAATACATACATAATTTAATAGAATATTATTAGTTAATTATAAATGTTAAATATTATGTTTTTGTAAATATGAATTTATTTTAATTGACATTTTCAAAATATTTATAACAATTATTTTGATTAATCACATTAAAAAGTTGTGAAAAAAAAAGCACCTTATTGAGAGTTCATTAATTGAACAATAAAAGGAATAGCAGAATGTTTATATCTATCTGTATTGCATTTCGGCACTTCAAGGGTCCTGGCATTAGATCTAATGTTAAATTTTCTCTTGCGGCAAAGAGGGAGAAAGTCTCTGTGTTGGGCTGACTTAAGAAGTCCCTGACCAAAGGAGAGGACAAGATTTTCCTTCCCTGCCGCAAGCGAAGACAGTTTAGTTTGTTCTAAGGCTAAATCATAAGAAATATAGATATTTCCCAGTATAATTCGCAATGCTCTCTTTTGGACAGACTCAATTTTATATGCTAATTTTTTTGTGATTCCCCCATGCCACACAGGGCAAGCAAACTCCAGGATAGGTCTAATGTAACATGTAAACACCATGATTAAGTCATTTAAGGGCGCACCCAACCCTCATTATGAATCGAGCAAACATCCTTCGAGATGCTTTAGAAATAATCTTAGTGACATGAATGTCCCATTTCATATTGTCCTGAATAGTAACCCCTAGCAATTTCAGGCTACTAACGCATTCAAGAATCGTATCCTTAAGGGTAAATTGCTGAGAAACTCTACATAACGCAAGAAATTTACAGTCATAATGTGGCTACATAAAAAATTTACAGTCATAATTTCAACAACTGATTATTTATTTTATTCATATTGTTGCATCCAGCAGCAAGTAAACAGAGCCCCCTTCCCCTCATATCTGAGGGGGAGGGGGCCAATAATATATGGATGTCCCACAACCCACTTAGCTATGCATCTTAAAAAAATGGCTGTTGTATTGTCTTATTAAGAATTTACCTGAAATTGATAAATGTACTGACAAAATCTTAGCTTTTATTAGAATTTGTTTTTGTTTGTTTTCAGCTGACCACTTTAGAGTACCTGCACGATAAAGGATACATCCATGCTGACATCAAAGCTGCTAATCTAATGATGGGGTATGGCCCCAAGGCCTCAAATCAGGTCTGAATCTTATATTATGCTGACCCTATAATCTGAAATTAGGTACAAGTCATGTAATGATAAGTTTTAAAAATCAGGTTTGACCTATCCAATCCCTACATCATTCAGTGATAATAGCCCTAAGGCCTTGATTTAAGTAGTATGTATTGTCCAATCCCTAAAGCTCACTTCACACAATAAAGTTTATGTGACAGATTTGTGTGATATGCTCATATATGGGTGTGATGATGATGTCATATTACACCAAAATATGGGCATATTACATCCAAATATGGGCATAGTACATCCAATATGGGCATAGCACATCCAAATATGGGCATATTACACCCAAATATGGGCATATCACATCTAAATATGGACATATTACATCCAAATATGGGCATATTACATCCAAATATGGGCATATTACATCCAAATATGGGCATATTACATCCAAATACGGGCATATCACATCCAAATATGGGCATATTACATCTAAATATGGGCATATTACACCCAAATATGGTCATATCACATTTATTGTCACAAATTGATAGTGTGGACAAAGCTTAAAGCTGTTATAGGAGTAGGAAATGTGAATGTACTGAATGTTAATACTAACTCAGACTAATGTTGTAGATAAATGAATGGTACTGTTGCTTTATTACAGGTGTTTCTGGTAGATTATGGCCTTGCATATCGCTATTTACCTGATGGAGAACACAAGCCGTACAAAGAGGATCCAAGAAAAGCCCATGATGGTACCCTTGAATACACAAGCTGTGATGCTCACAAGGGCGTTGGTAAGATAAACCCAGGCTCCCTTCCTCCTTTGACGTGGTGAAATCGTCTGATACCCCAACCCAAGGCTAGGGTGCCTCCACAGTTGTTACAGCAAGTGGCAAGTGTTCTTTACAATCAGATCTGCTAAATGAATTCCCCTCATTAGTTAAAAATATTGTAAAGAATATGGATTGCATTGTATAAATATATATTTATTTAACTTGATACAATTTCCTCACAACACCACATTAATTTCAGTCCCTGGTTGCCAGTGTCTTTGATATCAGAGCGACTAAACAATATAATAATATAAAGGGAATGATGTCCTCTTTATTTTTCTCTCATGTTGCCAATTTGTTAGTGCCTTCAAGAAGAGCAGATATTGAGATCCTAGGCTACAACATTCTACACTGGTTGAGTGGCACTCTCCCCTGGCAGGGAACTCAAGACCCAGATGCAGTCAGTGCAATGAAACAAAAGTAATGTTGTGCTCTTGTTTTAAGGATGTCAAACTTGCCAAAGTCGAATCCAAAATGTATGGATTACTAATGTATACTTTCTCTGTGTTAACCTAAACATAAAAATTAAAGTATCTAGAACATGAAAATATATGTATAAAGCATTCTACTCCAGTGTTCTTTAAAAAGTTTCATAAAATGACAGGTTCTCAATATGATTTTATTTAATTAATAAAACTACAAAAAAGTTAGAACAACATTGGGGTAAAAAGCCAAAAATAGAACACATTAAATATGCTTAGCCATGTGCAAATATTCAATGTCATTTTGGTATATATGTTTTTCTATCCGTTTGTAGGCTCATGTCTGATGTTGGTACGTTGATGTCAAAATGTTTTAAAGGCAAACATTTTGCAGGAGAAGGTAACTCTTAAAGAGCTTGATACAGTTGTTTACTGAATAATTAATTAGAATATTTTACCAACTGCAGATGTCACAATGGATCATATTTTTATGCAGTCAATATATATCACAATAAAATAGTCATGAATACAACATGAGAATAATTAAAAGAATTACTTGCTCATAAATAATGATTAAACATTGGCACATCTATACACAACCAGTTGAAGATATAAACAACTTGTCACCAAAACCATCATCATCATCATCATTAATTCCAAAGATTTATGTAGCGCCAGTTCCAAAAAATGATCAAAGGGGCTGAGTGTTATTATCCCTTGGCACTGGGTAACATACATTGGCAAACTACACAAAGTGCAACTTTCTCTGGTCCCTGGGGGAGTATACCTAGTTGTGCACACGCAATTAGTACAGTCAATGCCATAAAATCCTACCAGGTACCTATTTATATTCTTGGGTAGAGAGAGACATTCGTATATTTGTTTTGAGAGAAATAAATGAAATAAAGTGCTTTTCCCAAGGACAAAAGCGACTTGTACAGTGAGAGTTTCGAACCACAACCTGTGCGCCAACCGCTTCTATAAACAATAAAAAATTTTTGTAAATGATGGAAATTACAACAGTAAAACAATAGTTTTTTTCTTTTGACAGCTGAAGTTAAAAAATACTTAAAATATGCCCACAAGTTGAGTTATGAACAGAAACCAGATTACAATTGTTTACGACAGCTCTTCGACGATGCTCTGAAGAAGAACGGTCTGAAAGATGATGGCAAGTTTGACTTTGAAAGTGTTGTATCCGGTCCAGAAACTAAGCGTAAAACAACAGTCAAAAGAAAATCCGACGACGGATATACTAGCAATGGAAGCCCGGTGAAACGAGTTAGATCAGAAAAGGTTACATCCTCAGGGGAAAGCTCCCCAGAAAAGAAAAAACGTGCAGCAGCGGGCAAGAGAAAAGTGACAAGCTCATCCTCCATCACCAGCCCTGGGAAAGAACAGATACCGAAAGCAAAGCAAATGAGAGGAAGCAGAAATAAGAAACCAGTCTGTAGTATTTCATCGCCAGAGAGCTCACCAGAAAAGAAGCTACGTAGATCACCAAGGAAACTAGCTGCATCTAAAGGTAGGCCTACCTCATCGTCATTATCATGGATGCTTGGCATAATATTGTGACACATTGCAGTCAATAAGCTTTCTTCAATCTTATTTGGCTAAATTTTCCATACTCTACTATTACTAATTTAATATTTTTCCATTTCTCAGTTCTTTTACCAAACTTCCTATGATAATATAATAATAATATTGATTTTTACTTTATATAAAATAATGGTCAGTTTCTGGATTTATCAAACTAGAAATCAGCTTAAATTCATATTAAGTCCATTTTTTTGCTTAAGTCAGATTGCTTAAAATTTTAAAAGTCGATTGTATGCGTGCACCATCTTAGATGATTTTTAAGCTAAGATTTTGCTAAGATGGTTTAATAAATCAATTAATTCCTAATTGTCATGCATTTAACAATATGAAGACAGAATCAAACTGCTTGGAATGTTATAATCATGTTCATGAGATAAATGTTCAGAACAAGCACTTCTGCTGCAATGCAGAGAATTGTAGTCATGCCACAGTGCAGAGATGCAGACTGTCACATTCAGTGTTGCAATATCCTACTGTACCAGTACCAATTTATATAAGTCAGACTTTTAACAAATTGTTAAGGGGTTAATTAAAATAACACAAAAGTGACTCCAAATAGAGAAAGCAAGACCATAGTAACTCAACACATAACTCAACATCATCAGGAATCAGACTTAACAAATTTTTAAGGAGTTATTTGGGAGTTTTCGTTGTATTATTAATTATGTTAATTTTGTGTTGTGTCTTCTCTGTCTGTCTAGGTAAACCAGTAAAGAAAGCAGTCAGGAATTCAAGAAGAAAAGTGCAAACAATGGATACAGAGATTCAAACATCACCAGGCCTGCTACATCGATACTTAAAAGAGAATCCCAATTATAATAAAAGCTGATTGTGTACATGATCTGATGCTTTATGGGAAATCATTACATATGCATAATTGAAAAGAAAGCAGCATGTGAACAATGCATTATGGGAAGGAAAATGCATTGTGGGAACTTGCTTGTAGATGCTACATGGTACCTGTCAAAAGCATCATTGATGCTCTCATTAAAGATGTTTGTTTGTAAATTGTGGGAATGTCAACATTGTTGATTATATGTAGATCTTTGAAACTGTTTTTGAACAAATACTTATAAAGTATGTTCAAATATTTTTTTATATTTACGATTATGTGACCAAAGAATGTATACTTTAGTTAAATGTTAGCCAACCAATAGAATTGCGCTTCATTAGAATTTAGAAGTCCAACATTATTGGTCCTTTACAGTTTCCATATTAACTTGTGAATCTCTTGGAGAAAATGATATAAATTAGTGATTTCTTTGCGTTTTCCAAGGTCCCGATTCCAGTGGCGTTAACCAGGATATTCATCACCTTTTTTTTCATTTTGTTCAGAAGCAGTACATGTTTAAGATAAAACTCAAGCGGGGGTTAGCCCCGTACCCAACTGGGCTTTTTACCTAGTCCCAGGATAGGTTGGCCTAAAGGAACTCAGGCCAAGGGCCCAGGCCTCTTTGTTACTACACTAGATTCTCATCCTGCAATGTTATTATTTATCATATATTAAGATTACTTATTGTTATTGTTAGTAGTTATATTTATAATACATTATTAATATAGGTATTATTCAGGATGATAAAATATATTATCAAACAAAAATAGGTGGACATTTTTTACAATTGCCAGAAATGTTTTATTTGATTATACAATTTTCATCAACATAAACATTTTTTAGATAAATTAACCTGACCCATTACCATCACATATTTTTGTTGACAAATGAACTGTAAATTAAATGTTTTATTGCCAAATATGTTTAATCTTGAGGTCCCTCTTCGGTTGCCTTCATCTTCCATCCTGTCGACATGATAGCAGTCCTTCACATCAACATCAGTGTCAGAAGCAGGATGGTGTCATAAGAGGTGGCATTACATAATCCAAACCTCTGCCCAGAAGAGGAAATGCAAAACATGGTGCTTGCTAAGCAGCTTGGCTCAACTGGTGGTAGCCACTGTGTGTGTGCGTGCACGGAACTGTGAAGATCTCTTGGTTCCCGGTTCAATTCCTATCGCTGCACTCCTTGTGTTTCAGCTGGAGGGCTGAAATACAAGTTTCGAAAGTGTGATTGTCTCCTGGTGTACTGCCCATTCACCACCAGAAGGACCCCACTGGAAATAAGTCTTAAATACAATCCAAGTGACAGACCATCTCTGAACGATTTTTTGACTTTCAGATGCTATTAAATAACCACTATCTTAATGATTCAAAGATGTGCTGTCCCTGGAAAATGACAAAAAATTTAAAAAATAATTTCGAAATTAACTTGCTCATCTTGCAGTAACAAAAATTAACTTGAGCAAAAATGGTATTTTTTCTGGGACAATACACCACGGCACACAGCTACTTAAATAGTAATCTAAATAATATTACAAGTCAATCGTGACATCATCTCTGCAACTCACAATGTTATTTGCTTATCCCCCACAGTCCAGTAATTTTTCAATAGTGGATGCTTGGCTCGATTTTTTTAGGTTCGTGTGCAAAAAAAATACCTTTTATCGTCACCGCGAAAATATTGCGCACCGCGATAAAAATTTAATTGTAATCGAAATTACTTTCGTAATACAAGGTTAGTAAGAACCCAAAAAAAGTTACTTTAAATTCATATTAAGTATGAACAATTAGGGAATTCCTTGATTCAATGGATCCTAATAAACTAAACAAACTACAGTAAATGTTTAATAGGAATATTCTAGACCTATTTTAAAGACTCAATGACAAAATTAGATGTAGGACTACGGCCAGGCAGGAGGGTGTCAGGCCTCCTTCTACCTACTAGTACTAGGCCGTAGCCTAGCGTAGTTATGAAATCATCGCATGATTTTTACCCGTCTGCATCGACCAAAAAGTCAGACTATTCTCTCTCTTCAGGTAGAGGGCTGAAATAAAAGTTACAATAGCGCCCGTTTGAATGAGACGTTTAAGCTGTTGGTCCCACATGCATTTATGGCCCATATGCATGTTAAAGAACGCAGTACACTCTTTGGAAAAGAGTAGGGGATTGTCTCCTGGTGCACTGCCCAATCACCACCAGAAGGACCCCATTGGAAATAAGTCTTCTAGACTTTCGTGAGCTCTCCTTGGTGTTTACACCGAATAAATCCAATCCAACCCAACCCAAGTAACACAATACAAATTACAATAGTAATTCATCGTATCCGTACTGACAGTACTGCTGATGTGTAGTTAACGTGTACGCTGCAGGAGCACAAATCAGCATACTCACAGCTAAATGTAAATACGCACACTGTATACTGATTATATCACTATGGCAACCGATGACTGCTACAACGGCAATTGACTTATAAAGCAATTAGTAGAGCATGCATCATACACTAGTGAAGAATTATACTTAGATTAGATTTAGCACATTCAAAAATTTCTTAAAGCATTAAATCTAAGCTTCGTATAAATAATTTTCCTATAGTATACTATGTGGAGCTCTACTACAGTAATTGCTTACTGTTTCTATTTATTAAGAGACTTTTCATGACATGTTATATTATTGTTTTGTCTTTTGCATCCATATCAATGTTATCTGTTACCTTGTTTGTTGCCAGCTATGGAATGTATTGAAATAGGCTTTACATTAAACAAAGATACTGTTTCAATATATATTAGGGCAAAATATTACATACAAAAAAAATAAATAATTTCAGATGTTTCTTTTTATTCCGAATGTTGCATCAATTTGTGGAAACCAAGAACAGACAAATATAGTAATACAGCATAATAATAATAATAATAAGACAAATTTAGTAATACAGCATAATAATAATAATAATAATAATAACAACAAAACTGAAAACACAATATCTGCTTTGAGAAAACTGACTTCTATAAAATATAATCTGTCAAATACAAAATATAATATTTTTACATTTCAACAATTTACTTATTCTGAACCATCTTATGATGGATAACATTTCATGGAGAGACTTCATAATTAAGCATACAACTGCTTTTAAGTTCTTTAATAATTCCCACCCCTTCTTCATCGGCATTATAAAATATCTTATAAATTTATGACTTGAGACAAAATCTTGCACAGGTTGCACATGTCCACTGCTACATACGCTCCCCCACACCCTGCAGTTGGGACAGCATACCCCCTGTTGGGAAAATCCTGCCGCCATTGAGGCCATCCCCGAGATATTTAGCAAGGTTTACATTTAGTTCTGTGAAAACGAGGCTGATTTTGGAAGTACAAAATCTGTGTGAATTGGGCTAATTTGGTATCACAAAACTTGTTAAACATTCCCAACCACCTATCTTGCTTGTGATCATTTGTGGCATTATTCTTAGTCAAATCAGCATAACTATGACTTTTAGGAACTTTTCAACTTTTCTTCTTGCTTCACTGTGATTGGTTCACTAAAGTATGGACACTCCTCATAGAAGGTTACCGTTATCCTGTCTAACCTTGTGATTGGTTGACAGCAATAACTTCCTCATAGATCACTTGTCTTCTTGCCTCACTGTGATTGGTTGACTGCAGTATGGACACTCCCCATAAATATTTTTGAATCCATATTTGGAAAGACTTTGGTTACTAGTTGGCAATGACCTCAACCACTGAAAATAATCAGTTAATCGGTACTTAGAATGGCGTAGTAGGTGTTTAAGTCACAGTACAATATATGTTAGCTCTCTGCCTTCTACACAATCAGATGACAGATAAAAATAAACACAAAAATAACAATGTTAATGTTAAAAATGGAAATAATAATACTGTTAATGCTAATAATAATAATAATATTAAAATAGAACCCTTCCTTTAGGACACCTCTATTAAGGGGGCACTTTTCTTAGCCAAGAAGTGAGAGAAATATGCCTTTTGACACTACAGTCATCCCCTATTAAGGGGACACTTTTGGTACCAAAAGTCCCTTAATAGGGGTTTTACTGTATTATAGTATTTAAAATAATTTACAATAATAATAATAAATACAAAAATATAATAATTCATCAAATCTTCAATGAGCCTGCTAAAATTATGGATCACCATTATACCCTAGAGAAAAAAATAAAATGCAGGCTGGCAACATTATGATGTCATGAACCAAAACCTGTAACTTTGGTTTCATATTCTTAGTAACATGATTCCCCTGCACGTTTTTCTGGGGTTGTATACATGTTAAGGCTTCACCTCACCTCATATAAACATATTTGATGAAATGCTTTGTTGCAGGCAGGAAATTTGCATACTTTGTCAGGTATTGCACCATCAAGTCGGTAGAGATAACATATACTGCATTCAGAGCAAAAGTCCTGCAAAGAATTTAACACTAATTAATAGTAAATTAAGTCACCAAACTTAAGCTCTCATTTATTTCTCTTAAGCTAATAAACATAAATAATATTTAAATTAAAGATTCTTTGATAACATCATATAAATTTGAATTTTGGTAAATTTGAATATTTAATTAAATTATTAGCTATTAATTAAAAATATAGTCTTCCTCATTAAAAAACAGTATTAGATATTCACATAAATTAACTGATAATCAATTCAAGGATTTGTGTGGTAAAAATCTGCGATAAGTCCACTGCTTGGTCCTTTTAAATGAGATTGATGAGGTATGATCAAACATAGTTAACAACAAATGTACCAAATATCAGCAGATTTAAAATTAGTTAAGTCCATGTTGCTAAGGAGTAAAGTAAGGTACACGAACTGCGAGTCGGCTAGGCCAGTAGCATGTCCAGTCTAAACGTAGACAATATTTATCATCGTTTTTCTCACTTATACATTTCACAAACAGAACACAAATTTTGATATTAAAACAATCATATCTTGATAAGTACTTATTGGATAAGATTGATGTTTTCACTATTGTAAAGTTTAGAACTCATATATTAACAGGAAGCTTGTTTTTCCCGACTTCCGGATGTCTCCTCTTGTCACCGCCATATATATATATATATATATATATATATATATATATATAACATAAATCAAGGTAGCCGTTAACACTGTTAAATCATATATAAATCATCAAAGAAAGGTAAATACAATGTTCGAACACTGTATTTACCTTTCTTTGATGATTTATATATATATATATATATATTGCCTAAAAACCTAATATGGGGCATTGGGTTTGGAGTAGTTTATTGCTATGGTTATTTAATATTTGCAAGATTTGAACCCAAAACATTAGAAGCAGAAGGTGAACACCTCAACAATCATGTCAAAACTTCATTCTAAATTCATAATCAGAAATTTTGTTACCTCTTTCTTGGAGGATATTGGAGATGGGAAAGTGATATTCATCAACTCTTGTAGGTTGCTTAAAACCGATTTTGATGAGTCCCACATCTGTAGCGACCGGTTCATATTGTCACGCAGTGGCTTGATGGTTTGATCAGCGCCTAGGAATCGACATTCTGGTAACTGTGTAGGATGCAGAGGATTCACCACTATTTGTATTGAGGCGTTGTTACCTAGGTAACAAATCAGAAAATTTTAATTAAAATCTGCTTTATCATTACAATCACCACCATTGGCCATATCAATATCATTGTCATTATCATCACCACCATTGGCTATAGAGTACCACAGTCATGTCGTCACAACGCCAGGCGGTGCTCTCTGTTGTCAACAGACATTGGCTACCGTCCATTACGCCTGAATGACTTCATAGCCTTTCTGGCATAGGCATTTTGATATGTAATATTTTACCATCAAAATGTACTAAAAACACAAAAGCTCGCATTATATTAGTTATCGAACGCACATTTAATCATGAATTAAAATTTACAAAGAAAAAGTAAGATACAACGTCTTATTAATTACGTTAGAAATTGAATTGGGATCAATGTCTTGTCATTTGTGAAATTGACGCCCGGTTGAATGTTTTTTGCAACGATAGCAACGGAGTAGCATTACGCGGTATTGTGAAATAACACTGTAGTACTCTTTAAGGCAATTACTTTCACTGTCATCACCACCAATAAAACAATTATTGTCACCATCTCCACTATTACAGTATCGTCTTCAACATTACTATCACCAACAGCATCAGGATGATGATTACCATTATTATCTTAACCAATACCATGACCACTACGAACATGCTGTCGCCACAATGCGTGCAGACAGGACAGTCACAACCCCAATTATCATCACAGACACAATCAGAATACCACCACCATCATTATCACTAACAAATCACTGCCACCACCATTATTATCACTATTACAATCATTGCCATCACCATTATTATCACTATCACAATCACTGCATCACCATTATTATCACTATCACAATCACCATTATTATCACTATCACAATCACTGCCATCACCATTATTATCACTATGACAATCACTGCCATCACCATTATCACTATCACAATCACCATTATTATCACTATCACAATCACAGCCATCACCATTATTATCACTATCACAATCACCATTATTATCATTATCACAATCACTGAAATCACCATTATCATCAATATTACGATCAATGATATCACCATTATCACTATAACTGCCATCAACATTATTACCACAATCACTGCCACCAACATTATTATCACTATCACAATCCCCATTATTATCATTATCATGTATGTATATGTGTGTATGAGTATGTAAATGTTTATATATATATATATATATATGTATGAGTGTGTAGGTGTATATATACTCATATATGTACCTATATACTCATACATACATATGAGTATATAGGTATATATATAGGTATATCTATATAGGTATATATATGTATAACGATTTAACAGTTTATTTTACTATTAAAACTTAGCTGTTATTAGTAAGAAGACATTAGAGTTATAGGAAGTCAGATTAACTTATTATTTACAAATTTTCTCTTATATTATTTTAGATTGTAAACACTGTACTTACTTTATTGCTTAATCATATATAAATATAAAGAAACAAAAACTAATTAAGATGTTGTTATTAATTAATACAAAATATAATTTACAGAAAAGAAATAGAATTTTTCTATTAAATTTTAAACTTCTTTAATTTAAGTAAAATAGACCTTTGAATTATTTTTGAACCTTATATGTAAAAGAAATATTTAATTATGTAATTTGGGATTTCCATTTACAAGCTATGCTTCAGGAATTTCCTGTTTTCTTTGATCTTAAAAAATGTTGTACATTTATATTTTTTGTAAATTTTCATGCTCAAAGGAAATAAATATTTTTGTCATTGTCATTGTCATATCACAATCACTGATATCACCATTATCATCAATATTACGATCACTGACATCACCATTATCACTATAACTGCCATCACCATTATTATCACAATCACTGCCACCAACATTATTATCACTATCACAATCACTGCCATCACCACCACCATTATCCCTATTACAATCACTGTCACCACCAACCATCACCACAATGACCGCCACTATTTTTTATTTACCTAAAGCAATTCTTCTAGCAGCATCCTTTCTACAGGGTTTCTCTGGCTCCAGCACCCATGTTGACTTGTCGATTTCATCCAAGACATTCCAGAATGTCTGATGCCTCTCAACAGCTTTATCAAATTGCTGTAAAACATCTACAAGTGACATCTACAAAGAAAATCATTGTTACAGACAACTGAAGTAATCTCACAGAAAGATCCAGCAACAGCCAATGGTTCCTCATAGAACCACATTTTATTATTTTAATATACAGGCCCGTAGCCAGGGGGAGTTTTATGGTTCGGGCGAACTCCCCTTTTCTAGCGAACCCCCCTGTTTTCTAGCAAACCCCCTCATATTTTTGAATGAGTCCCACTCGGAAAGAATGTCTGTTTTTAACTTACCCAGCATTAAATCAAAATTTAGCACATCTAATTCATTATTAATTGGTCACCCGTTTTTAAATTGTATCCTGCGATACAAGCCTACATTCATAGCATATCTCAGCTTCAGAAGTTCGGAGATTTAAATTGAACTCCGGCAAACCATGACTTTACGATAGCTCCCATAAGGATGGCAAACATCGATAAAAACTTTCACTGGCCTTTGGCTGAATGTTTGTAAGAAATGTAGCAACCAGTAACAAAACCGGTCTCTGTCTACCTAGAGTAAAATTAATGGCGCCACCAAACGAAGATAAAGTTTTGCGACTTAATCCACCAAATGCAGCTAAAGTTTTGCGACTTAATGATTGTGGATTGTGTGGTTAGTAAATTCCATAGCCATACTCTCCATAGCTCACACTAAACTATTTGCTGATGGAGCATTTTTGGGAAATTGACTCTCCTTTTTTCCATCCCAAACAAAATATTATTAACAAATCAACATGGTCCATTTCAGTCATCATAGCGAGTCACAAAATGAGGAAGTTTGTTTTCAACAGCAGACACACACAACAGAACGGAGTGCGTCTAAATCTAAAAAAATACGTACTGGCATATTGTAATACACATTCCCTTGTTGTACAGTATGAAATGCTTCATTAACATAACATACACTGAGGATCGCCAACGAATTGGGTGGGTATTCAAACTTTTACGATATGGTGAACTACTTCGATTAAAATGTTATAGTGATTATATAAGAATTAGATGAGTCACTGTCAATAAAACAATTCGCGGAAGAGGAGTATTCAAAATATCGGTACTATTAATATGGGACTAATCAGATGACTGACGCTGTTCTCCATCGACAATTGATTTTATGTGCATTATTTATCTACAATTCTTATCTACAGTATATACACTAAAGAATATTTACACTCACAATTTTAAAAAGAAGTTACCAACAACGACATGTAAATAGCTGTGGGAAAAACAAATTATCAGCCTGCTCTCTGTTTGAATACTGATCGTAATTGAACAATAATGATGCAGAGCAACACGCTTGGTCAACTTGTAAAAAATCAGAGCCTTCTGTTGTTTGCCCATAAAACAAATTTTGGAGTGTTATACAGTACAATTTCAAAACATTGTCATCGTATTGAAACAGCTATAATATTGAAAAACAAACCACTTGAAACAAAATCGGTGTACAAATTCAAAATAAGTATTTACAATAGATTTTAATGGTCAACTTGTTATCAAATTTTACGAACAATTTTTACATACATTTGTGAGTGCCGGTGTGTAATAGACATGCAAAGCAAGCATTAGCGGTTAGCTGTATAATATCTTTGAATATCATTTTAGACTGATTCATTCATATGCTTGGTCAACTTGTAATAATTTAGAATTCAACAGTTTTTACTAATAGGGTCCATATCTTTACACTTCTAGACGTAGTATCAAATTTTAGTTGCCATAGACCCGGTTTCATACACACTCACTAAGTAAATTTCAATGGAAACTGTTTTCCCCATTTTTCAAATGTTTAGTTAAATACTCCTATACAATACTGTAGGCCCCTGGTATAAAATTGACAGATCAATTAGACACTCTGTAAAGATCGATTATGCCTTTTTATATAATATTGTAGGTCATAGGCCTAATGTGTGTGAAGTACTGACTTTGTTAATATCGAATGGGTGAAATTGCGCACAAACTCTTGACCTAACATACAATGCCAGAGTAAATGATATCACGTTTTAGCCACCAAAAAGGATTTTCCACGGACGCACAGAGTAGGCCTTCTAATAGTATGGCCTAAAGCGAACGAGTTTCTGGTCTCGAAAATCCAGACACTTCGTTAAGGCCTATACAGTACAAAATACTGTACAGTATATAATTCATTGAAAAAGCTTTAAAATGAAGGACTTTTAAATAAAGTTTATGTATATAGGCAATAATAATATTTTGCGAATCTTGGGTTTTTAAAAGCAATCTTCGGATTTTTTAGACCCAATCTTGGGAATTTTGATTTTCCCTAGTGGTCACGCTGCATTTAGAGACAGAATTGTACCCCGACGACATCAAACTAGTGTAGGCTTAAGTACAGTAGGATGTACTACTAGGCATAGGCTTTTGTTGTAAAAGTTGAAGTGCATGTATTAGGATGCGCCACAGGCCTACTATATTTAAAAAAATACATTTTGTTAATTATTATTGGTTGGCCTAGGAACTAAGGTAGGCAGGCCAGCATTGCCGTCAAAAGTCCTGGGATTAGACGATAACGTCAGTGCACATGTTTACAAACGCTAGTGATTGGAACATGGAACTATTCTTATTAATAGGTCCATGATTGGAATGAAAACAGACGCGCTGAATTTCGTTTGTTTTATGAACGATAGTATTTATCGAACATTTATCTATATAAAAACAAGATTAATATTGTAGAAATTGTATTTCCAAAGATTCATATATAATTCATATTGATTGGAATGAAAATAGACGCGCTGAATTTCGTTTGTTTTATGAACGATAGTATTTATCGAACATTTATCTATATAAAAGCAAGATTAATATTGTAGAAATTGTATTTCTAAAGATTCATATATAATTCATATTTCATTTGGTAGACAATAAATATTCAGTAAGATACTGAAAACGATTATATTAATTCTGAAAAGTGCATCAAATCTCAGCTATTATTAATCACCCCTCTTGAAATGACCTGGCTACGGGCCTGATATACCTGAATACAGTAGTGCCAGTTCCCTGGGACAAAAGCAAATGTATTTTCTCAAACTATAATAACCTCTATAATTATCTCTGTAATAATTTGAATTAAGCATCTAAGGCCATCACCACTCCAACCCTCACCCTAGCTCTGTCCTTGGACCTGGCATGGCCTATTCAAAAAAATCGATTATATTATAAATACAGTAAATTATGAGTACCACAACTATAAAAGTATTATATTTGAATAATTTTTTATAATACAATAATAATATTATTAGTACAGTACAGTGTTACAAATAATAATAACATGTATTTTACTAGGCAATTCTGACAGACCTTTTACAAAGATTACTACACTTAAATAATAGAATAACATAAATCAAAACAACAATATTATAATAATAAAAATGTTACAAAAAAAGGTTTCAAAACTCATCCAGACATTTAACCTGAGAACTTTCACTTAAGCCGGACACTCACTTCTCACAGCAGTTGTTGGCCGATTTTTTAACGACGATCTGTTCTGACTGCCGACAATCAGTAGACAGCTTCGCGTGGTCTAGTACTCAGAGGGAGTGGAGTTGTTTTGTCACACGACTGTTGTGCGACGCAGTGACTGCCCGGCTTTAAAAATTCATAGATGCGTATATAAAGTTTAGTTGCTACAGAGTGCGGCTTCCTTTACTATAATAACAATACTTTACAATACCTTGGAATTCCATTGCAGTGAAAATTCAGATGGCAAGTCAGTGCTGCATTCTGGGGCTTCATTTGGGTACTAGAAAATAAATGATAAATAAGTTATTAATCACTAAATATTAACAATCATCATGAACTGATTGGTACATCTCCACCATAGCTGACATCCTGTGACCTCACTAATGAAGTCAGCAAAAGCAATTTGATATAGTTATTGAAGGGGCTATCTATTATTCTGAAGATCCACCCTTTTTTTTTTATTTATTACTTATTTAGGCACACAGCACGTACGCCAAGGATTGTCAATAGCAAATATATTACTGTCCTACTTGTAGGTAACAAGCTATGCTGCTTAGCCACTAACATATGTTGCTTAGCCACCAACGTATGATGCTTAGCCATTAAGTTATGCCACTTAGCCACCAGGTTTTGCTGCTTAGCCACTAAGTTATGCTGCTTAGCCACTAAGTTATGCTGCTTAGCCATTAACTTGTGCTACTTAGCCACTAACTTGTGCTACTTAGCCACCAATTTATGCTGTTTAGCCACCAACTTATGCTGCTTAGTCACTAAGTTATGCTACTTAGCCACCAACTTATGCTGCTTAGCCACTAAGTTATGCTGCTTAGCCACTATTTTATGCTGCTTAACCTCTATTTTATACTGCTCTTTTGAATAGAAATTTGTTGAAAATGCACACAACTGGTTATGACAAACTATGTTTTATCAAGCCACGAGATCTTTGGTTAAACACCTTTGTTACTAACACTGGGTTGCACCTTTATCACCTTTGTTGCACTTTGTACACCAGTGACTTTTAAAGATAGGGTCTTTTAAGTTTACAGTTGATAACTGCACTAACTTATATTATTAGCCATAATGACAGAATTTTATAAAATTGAAATTGCTTAATTTAAATTTTATGTACCTATTCCATCTGAATAGATACATAAAATTTAAATAGAATAGAATTTAGAATTAGAATTCTATTTATTTAAATAGAATTTAAATAAAATTCAGATAGAATAGATACATAAAATTTAAATTTCATGTATCTATTCCATCTGAATAAATACATAAAATTTAAATTTTATGTATCTATTCAGATGGAATAGATACATAAAATTTAAATTTCATCTATTCAGATGGAATAGATACATACAATTTAAATTTCATGTATCTATTCAGATGGAATAGATACATACAATTTAAATTGTATGTATCTATTCCATCTGAATAAACTAAGTAAATAAGTTTTCATTGTACATAAATACTGTTGAAAATATATTATCTACAGGTGCCATTATTCCTTAATTATTTTTTAAATTGCTAACTAGTTTGCATAACAATTTAATAACTTTTCTATTAAAGCAGCTGCTTTGGAAGGATCTATATATTATCTCTGCCTCAGATCGAGTGAGTACTCTGTTTGGGTGACTTCTACATTGTAAGTACGGTTGATGTTAATGCTTGTTGGCTTTCATTAAGAGAAGACCCTAATTTAGAGTTGTAGTGTAAATTATAAATTCTACAGACTAGGTTTTTTCTATCTAGTGGGGTGTGTTATTCAGGATTGGCTGCTGAAAGAGGTGCTAAGATAATAACACTGATGCAGGGCTGAGTTGATCATGCAAATTAACTATGAGCTCATATCAGTACTGTTTGGCATTTGTTGGGTAACAGTTGATAACACCATGGTCCAAATATACTTATCTCAGCTCTTTGCAATTCCAAAATTAGCTAGTAAATTAATATTAGGATTTTCAGTTGTAAAACCAGAGAGACTATTACAAATGAGGATTAAGAGTGCTGGTTTTTCTGTGCGCACAAAGATTTCACCACAGCAGGTAGGCCACTTTCTTCATTATCACGGTACTGATAGTTACAAAGGTAAGCCTTCATTGGGGAACCAGTCAATTTGCTCTATAGAAAAAAAATCTTCCCTAGATTGCGAAATGTCATGCCTATAATATACACATAAATCGCCATCTCTTACTAATGTAGAAACAAAGAAAACACATCCCTTTGACCTTCTTAATCCTCAGATATCATTAAAAAAAAATCTTCAATAAAGAAAAGTTTAAAATTACTAAAAAAAGTGGAAAGAAATAGAACTTTAATAGCTTGGTTAATTAAGTCATCATATCCGGGAGATTAGTAGAACTTTTCAAAAACCTAGTCAGTTTCATTAACAATAACAAATTTCGCATTTAGTTTGATAAAGAATATATGACCTGATTATTTCAGGTATTATAATTGCTGCCAAATTTTATAGTTACTTTTTCATGTAAAATTTTATGATCATCAGTCTCTATATATTCAGTATCAGATTTGCGATGGTAATGTTCCAAGTTGTCCTTGTAATTTATTGCATCTAATCAACATGTTAGGGAAAAAATAAACACAAACTTCTGCCTTTTATTCTTAATTTAATCTCTGGCTGTAAAACCCTTTATTTACTAACAATATTAATTCAACTGGATCACCCGATACAATTGAACTTGTTATGCCTGTATTTTACAAGCATTCAACCATAACTGTAAACTACTTACAATACTCTTCGCTGATGACAACACTGACAGAAACTGAGTTTGTAAATTCAAATGTTTGAAACAATTAAGTTACGATAGTTACCTGAGAAGATATATGTACGCTGATGTAATGTTCTCTTGCAGATGAATCTATTGTCTGTAACTTCACTTTTTGAAAACATTCATCAATATCAACAACCCTGATAAATAAAAAAAAATAATAACAGATAAGAAAATACACAAGAGTACATAGCAAACAACAGTATACAGCAAGACATTGAGATAATGTGGGAATGATTTCATCCCTGTATTTTCTAAATGGATCATCAATAGAATCTTGTAGGCTGTAACAGTATCTTGAGGTGACAAATGACCATTGTCAGTGGCGTGTCTAGAACTATTGACAAGGTGAGAGGGGCAATGAAGAACGAAAATTTTTAATGGGCCTTTAAGATTCTCAATTACCTGAATGAAATTTTTTTTGGTAAGCAAATCTATCCTGGGGGAGGGCATCTGTAATAGTGAAAATACTGACTAAAAAGATTTAAGTTTCATTTTTTGTTGAATTCCTAATATTTGAAATTGGAAATTTTGGCTGGGCACCTGTGGACCAGTGGCAGCTGCAGTGTAGCACCAGTACCAACATGTAACAGATACATTGTCCCTTTTTCTGCCTAACTAATAGCAACAGGTTACTCAAGGAGCAGAGCCATCGGACTCTTATTAAAACCTAACGCTGGCCAAGTTTCAACCACAATGGTCTTCAGTGTAAGAAACTGGAAGATTACCTCTTGGCCAAACATTTAGCTCCTACAGTAGTACCAATAGTGAAAAATGCTACAAAAAAATTTAGTATTATTATGAATAATGACTGGGATTAAACCAGTATATCACTTTGTGGAAGCAGTTTGGCGCAGTGAGAAAGGTTTGGTTTCCCAACCTCAAGGTCAGGTTTCGCTTGTGTCATTGAGCAAAGCACTTTATCTACATTGCTTCAGTCTACCCAATTGTATCAATGGGTACCAGCAAATTGCTGGGAGTAACCTGTGGTGGGCCAGCGTTCCACCCAGGGGGAGTATTAAACTCTCATCGGCTCCACGCTACAGAAACTTGGGATAAGCTTCAGTCATACAGTATGAGCCTTAGTGGCTCGGCAAAAATTTAATTTTACTATCACTTACCTATCCCATTTAACAATTGAGATTTCATTAATGAGTTTTCCATACAATGCTGGGGCTGTGCTTAAAGATTCAAACATCTTGTTTGTTCTTACAGCCGAATCCTAAAAAAAAAAAAAACCAGTTATGGTATTAGTGGCTGCAGTGCTTGCCTTACAACCCCAGATTTCTGGGTTTAATGCATAAATAATACTTTTTAATATCATTTCAACAAACTATTAAATTTGTAATCTATTTAAAGGGTTTTTTTTAATAAAAAGAGTAAAATTTGTGAAAACTGAATTTAGTATATCCATATGTAAGTTATTAGGTTTCAATTTAAAGAACAAACAAAAATACTATTTCTTTGCCATTTAATAAATGCATAAACAATACTGTTCAATAATCTTTGCATCGACCATTAAATTGGCAAGATAAATTAGGGGTTGTGCAACATTATAAACATTTTCACAAGTTTACAAACAGTACACTAGGGGGAGGGGTAGACAAATTTTTACACTCTTGCATATGCATAAAAATGTTGATGCAAATTAAGATGCAATATGTTAAATAATGGTAAAATTGTAATGTAACCATGGATGAAATATTCATTTTTTAGCAACCAAGTACATTGCTTTAGTTGACTTTACAAAAAAATGAAGAATGGTTTTGCAAAATCAACTTATTTTTGTAGGTAGGGAGGGGCACTGAAAAAGAGTACTGTTTGTACACTCTTGAAAAAATTAATAATTGTACAGTAAATGACCCATTAAAGGAGTTTTAATAT